CTAGTAATTACTAGGAAGTGGTCGCTTCCGACATTCGTGCCACGGTAAACCCTTGTATCCTTCAGTTTTGTCCTCAGGCGTTCATCAACAATCACAAAATCAATCGTACTTCTTTCTGTATGCCTCTGCCATGTATACATATGTATCTTCTTGTGACCAAATGTTGTGTTGGTCACAAAAAGTTCCTTTTCTACACATATATCCAGAAGACATACACCATTCTCGTTCACTCGTTCGTCTCCAAATCGCCCTAATACTCTATCGTACCCATCGCGTGCCACTCCAACCCATCCATTAAAATCTCCAAGCATAATTATTCTTTCATTCTCTTTACATTCATTAAGAACATCTCTCAAGTTATCCCAGAATACTTCCCTCACCCCAATTGGCTTTGAGATGTCCGGGGCATAAGCACAGACGACAAATAATTTGGTCAAGCCAATTTTAAGGCGGATCTAAAGTATCCTGGGACTCACACATTTATACTCTTTCACACATTCATTCATCCTTTCAGATAGTATGACCCCCACGCCCTGGCTGCCTCTCTGGGAACTTGCAACACCAGACCAGTAAGCAATATATTGGCCATGTGTGGTAGTCATACAACCCTTTCTTTTCGTCTCGCTCATCCCTAACAAATCAATCTTTCTTGTATTCATCATCTCACATATTTCTAACATCTTGCCTTCTACGCCTCCACACACATTCAGTGTAGCAAAAAGGCAATCCTCAGCCCGCTTTCTGCCTACTCACGGGGAGACAAAACGTGACGTGTGGCAGAGCACGTCGCCGTTGGGAATTTGCCAAGATACGACGGGGCTGCCTGAGCAATCATGCTCAGGGAGGGATTCTCCAGCGGAGCTGGTACCCTCCTGGGGTAGAGTTTAAAAATCCTAATTGAATAACAATACACATATTACACGCCCCTACAATTTTCGAAAGTTCTCCTCGGTTTTCCTAGGCTTCTATTATCAGATCCTGACCTCAATGAAAAGGACCATCTCGGGAGTATACCCTTTGAATCAAAACAAGAATTCTGGAAATCCGCGCCCGACGAGGTAGAAATAAAAAAACTTTAGGCATTTAACCAATTTTTGACAAAAATGTCGTGAAAATATATACCTATAAGGTAAAAAAAATATTATAACACACTACGTTATAATAAACTATAGTAATGAGCTATAGTGTAATAACATAAAAAGTGTAATAAAATAGTACGCACGCAGCGTCTGTGTGTGAGCGTGTCTACTGGCGTTAGATCGCCGCCGCGTGCCGTACGCGTCGACAACGAGTAGGTAAGATACTAGTACTTAGTACTCGTTACGTGTCAACTAGAAGTATGTTATTATCAGATTACATAAGTAGTAATAAGTACATATACTTACTTATTTCTGTTATTATAAGTTTTCGTGCGTTATTTGACATTGTTAATAATTGTTATCTCAATTCAACTCAGCACACCATAAAATATTATAACGCGAGCCGCATGTGATTGTGTCCAGAGAACAAGCCAAACTAATGCAATGCGATGAAATAGGATAGATGATCTAGCGCGGTCAATATCTCTCTCATACCTTTATTATTCAGGTTAGGATACTGGTACCGAAATATACCGGTTTTCATTTCATACCCAAAAATAGCGGTACCGAAATTAAATTTCAATACCGAAATTAAGCGGTAACCGTTATTTAACGGTATGACGTCATACCGCAATTTAAAGGTATCGTAATTTTTCGGTTATTCAGTCCCTGCTTTCTGTAACATTTATTATAAAACACACACACTGATTGTTTATCGATTATTGTGTTCATCACTACACTATTATATGTGGTATCATTATTTCACAAAATGACAGTAGCTATTGTCAAATCTGGAATCTAATTAACTGGTCGAGTACCGGTTTTGCAGACACAATTATAGAACAATAGGTTGCGGTCACCGGTGACCGCTTGGTGTTTGAAAGTTTAAAATTCTGACTATAGGTATTTTTGATGACGTCACAATATTATTGCCAGAATGACAATAATGTGTTGTGTCTTTCTGCATGGGCAAAGAGACATAAGTAAAAAAGAAACAACAGTATTTTTATGAATTTACCGTCAAGATGGATCTTAAATTCTACCCGTAGACAATAGTCACACATCTATGTTATATATCTATGGTTTTAATAAATATTCTACTGTATCTGTACCTTCAAAAAAAAAATTTTTTTTTCAGACAAGCAAGGCTGCGACATACGCGTCTACAGATCCAGTGTCGTAGAATATATTGAAATGCCTAATTAAGTAATTAACTTGAACTGTAGATTAAATTCTGTATTGGTTTTTTTTATTAGAAAATGTATAGACCGGTTTTTTACGATATATTACGAAGTTACTGTGAAGTCAAATGACTATAAATTTGATCATTTTTGTTTGTTGAGAAACTAATTTTGTTAACTGTTTTCTATTATTATTATTTAGATCTCATAAAACTTAAAAGTGTTTATTATCATTGAATTATGTTGAAAAAGGATCATTCAGTAAGGACTATGATATCAACTATGCTTGAAATAAGTACTACATCAATAAGTACTTGCTCATATAGATCTTTTGGTACAGTAGAATTAACTACAAGACTTGCAGTAGATTGGATACAATGAAAAATGTAGTTTTTGACTTAGGCCAACTGGGCTATATAAATAAGTGCTTGTTAGTAAATTTTTGCTACTTTGAAAATTATGAAAGTGTAACGTATTTTAGTGCGTAAAAGAGATCTAACCAACACTTGTTGACATTTTAATGTAAATGATCACTTTGTTTGATGACATAATATTTATTGGGTAATGTTATTAAAGGAAATTTCCTAATTTGGTTAGGTCTTTTTAGACGTGTACCGGTGTACGTAATGGAGGTACGAGTGATTGCGACTGGTTGTTTAATTAATATGTCACTCGTAGCTTCATGTTTGTTAACAGGGCAAACTTGATTCACGTAGTTCTCGCATCTTATAATATTATGATCTATTCAAAATTATCAACAATGTATACTTGTAAAATAAATTATGGTCCAGCGCATGTGACGATATTATAGATGTTTGTGAATTTCTTGGATTAAGAATATTAATTTTTTAATATTTTTTAAATGAGAAAAGGATGTCTGCTGTGGAATTTTGTTATTAAAGTAAGTGATACTTAATATAAAGTTATAAATACCTAAGTGTTAACTATTTCCTTTTCTCATTTAAACTGTGATCTTAATATTAAACCTATAATCTGAGAATGGAGTGTAATAAATGAAAAGTCATCTAAAATTACCGTTTTTCTTTTATCTTAAATTCATTATGAGCCTTTTGACATTTCTGAATAATCGTGCACATAATGTAAAAAAAAACTTATATTCTACCTGCCATCTTCCACGTTTCTGCTATTTTATGTCGCCCATACTGTCGACTTCTAACCTATCAGTAGATGGGTAACCTATAAGTACGTATGACTAATAAATACAACTTAAAATATAAATAATTATAATAATAATAATAAATATTAATAAAACTAAAATATTTACACCTTAAAAAATTAAATAAAAATATATCATACATAAGGCATCAAAGAAAACATTTACCTCATCGTTACCGTGAGGTAGGGTGCCCAAAAGTGCCCGTGAGGTAGGGTTCGGAGTCGCGGACCTAACTAACGGGTAACCGGGGCTCCGGCTCGACGTGCAGGAGAAGGAACG